TCTGAGGCTCAACAGTACTGCAGAGAGCACTACACTGACCTGGCCACATTCAGAAACATGGACGACATCAACCGTTTTCAAAGACCCAGTTCATTCACTGGGGATGCCTGGATTGGACTGTCGATGACCCTGCCTCATGGAAAGGTGTGATGGGTAATGACTCTAACTCCTGGAGATGGTCTTCCACTGGGAACACCAGCCCTGGAGGATACCAGAACTGGAAAGCTGGTGAGCCGGACCACAATGAAGGGACAAACTTTTGTGGCGTGATGTATAATGGACTTTGGGGTGATGGTCCTTGTGAGAGTCTCTGGCCATCTGTTTGTTTCACAGGTGAGACAATTTACATCATTCAGTGTGCCAAAAAGCAATTGGAATTTTGAATAACACTCATTAATTTATTTACTTACATATTTATAAGTACAGTTAATACACCACCATCATATATATCTGCCTATATACCTACCTATACATATACATACATAAGTCAAGCCCAGCTTGACTTATTCCACTGTTTTGAGCAGTTTGCCCCCTGAAGAGTTGTGAGACAATGGACTTTATATTGAAAACTGTATATTTTAGTACAATCACTCAAAAAACTATTTAAATTAACCTGATTTAAAAAGTCATTCAGGTTGAAATTAATACAGAAATCAATTTTATTCTGCAGTTAGGGTTCCGATTCAGTTGCATGATTCTAACCAGGGATTAGATAGCCTGATTCATCAGCCGGTTTCACTTTGTGGAAACCGTCCGACCTCGCAGCATTCTGATTTGTTTGCTTGATGATAGCTGGGTTTTTGTTTTTTATTTAACCAATCACTACTATTTGGTCGTGACGTATGTAATGCACCAAATCCCATAGGAAGAAGGTCAATAACATCTATCGCCATGATAAAATTCACCAAACATTCTCTTTGTTTCGCCTTTAAATCCTCAATCTCAGGAATTGTTGTCAACACAGAACGTCTGTCTTCGTCTACATCCATCTCAACGCTTTGTTTACTGTTGTGCTGTTCCACAAAAGGGACCCAGACAGACGCTTGAGTTTGACGTCATGGCTTCACAGCTCTTCTCTGATTGGCTGGTGTGCGATCTACAACTTCTGGTGTTCTTGCAAACCGTCTAGTGTATTACAATTCCTCGCCTAGTTGCTGGAGAGAAAAGAAATTGAGCGGAGGCACTAGGTGGCACCAACCTGGCTAGGGATTAGATAAACTGAAAAATTTCTATTGTCATCCACTGTGGCCTTGCAACAAACTTGTGAGACATGGACCAAAGATATCACAAATTTAACATCACATGGTAGCCTAAAATCGTTGGAAAACAAATGTATATTTTTCACAATGTCACCTCTGCCAATATGGACATACTGCATTTTAAAGTACAGAATTGTTGACTTTAAGTGAAAATTTGCAGCAATAGCTCCATCGGTCGTGTTTGTCCTCTGATCCGAAGTTCAGTTCAGTTCAGATCTCCCTCGTGACAAAAAACATCATCAGTATTGTGATCACATCAACTGATCCACAGGTTGACGCTGTGATTGTAGTTCCTTAAATTAGTATTGCCTTTGTGTTCTTGAGCACTTAACTCCTCTTGCCTCCAGTATCTGCGAACACTGCTGTGTGAATGTGTGTGTTAATGGGTGAGTGATGTAAATGCTTTGAGTGCCTTAAAGGTAGAAAAGGCGTTCAAATACATTCTTGTCTCAACTCAATTACACCTTCACTAGAATCGCTTGGACAATTTCAGCTCTGGAATTACCAGTCAACTGAACAAAAACATAAAAGTAGGTTTTAATTTGAAAACAACCGCTTCGTGACATCACAAGGTGGAGCAGAGGATTTGGAGATGGACTGTAGACAGACTAAAGGTCCATTCAGACTGCGGCATCAAGGCGTCCAGTTTATATGCAAAGTCTATATAGACACTCGTCTTGGGCGTTCTGTGTTTTTGCAGCGGATCTTGGTGGCGCCAGCGTGGTGCGAGTCTAAAGCGTCGAGTCAGAATGTCGTGAGCGTCAAAAGTTGAAAATGCGGAATTTTTCAACCAATCAGAGACGAGTATCCAGAGACGCAGCAACATTATTATCCAGAAGAAGGAGAAAGACCCGAGAACCAGGGCGGGAGCCACAAACATTAGCAGAGTATAAATATACGCCGCAATCACCGAACCGATCGCCAGGACTACACCAGGACCGGACCAGGACTAGACAAGGACTAGACCAGGACTAGACTGGGGGCCTCATTTATAAAAAACTGCGTAGGAGTTGTCGTAACTTAGTGCGTACGCCTAGTAGCCATGAGAGGTGTGCGCCACGCAAACTCCATATTTAGAAAACCCACCACACGCACCAAACCACGCAATCTTTGCTTTATAAATCCCACCTGCAACTACAATTTGCGCACGTAAACCCACGTCACGTCACGCCCTCTCCACACCTCCACCTCACCATAAAAGAGCATGTAAAGTGACTCGTGAATGAGATTTCCCTAAACATGAGCCGATAATCAGTGGGTTTGACCGAGACACACGGGACAGAGGGAGGGGGATGCTCCACGCAGCACCACGCAGTCACGACAAAGACGTCAAAGACAACAAGGTTTAATAGATAAATACAAAACTAAATGTGACAACAACGACTCATCTGTTCATTTAATAATATTTCATAATATTTAGGCAGCACATCTTTGCAGTAAAGCTGATGTGTTTTCTTGCAGTTTCAAGAGTTTTATCGCTATATTTTTAAGTCTGCCTATGATGTATGTGTGGACTGGCCCTGTACATATATATATATATATATATATATATATATATATATATATATATATATATATATATATATATATATATATATATATATATATATATATATATATTACACGTACATACGTGCAAGCGGTGATAATTAAAGTCCACACGAAACATCCAAACTGCTGAACCTGTGAGTGTAGGTCTGGGTCGGGACGGGCACGGGCATTATTCTGTTCTTCATACTGTTAGAGAGCAGCTCTCATGTGCAAGAGTTCCCCATAACACAAAAATGTAGGGAAGATTTTGGGTTCGGGTCAGGTTCGGACCGTAGACTTCGTGTTGTGTGCAGACTTGGGTCACTCTGCTGCTCAGTGCGTAAAGACTAAAGTAAAAGTGTTAAAGTTGCGTTCATTAAATCAAAGCCTGGCTCCTGCTGCGTCCAAGGGATGCGTTTTCTCTCAGGTTGGGTCATTATTTTGTTCTCTGTGTTGGTCACAGACTGTGTTTTATAGAAGTCTGTGGTCGCGGTGTGGACTGCTGGAGACCCTGCACTACACCAGTAACGTGGCCGCGCTCGTACACGAGTTTCAAATGTATAATATTGTGGACAATAATGAGTGGAATAAACGGCCCTTCTCCATGTTTTGGTGAACCAAACACTTAAATGCACAAATGCACTGCAACAGCTCAATGCGTCTCATTTAGAGTAAACAACTTCAAGTACAGAAACGATGCAAATTCACAGGGTCAAAAACAAGTTTAAACGAGGTACAAACAAAAAAAGTGGTGCAAATAAAAAAAACGCGCTGCAAGAAACAAAGACAAATGCATCATCATCAAATGCGCTGCAAATAGAGAAACGATGCAAAGTGCGAAACAATGAAAACCAAGAAAACACCTGCAAAAGAAAAACGCTGCATAAAGAGTCGCCACAACGGAAGTGGTCCAAACCTGCAGTGGGCGCTCAGTAGCAGTGTCCGCGGACCGCAAAGGCCGTGCCGAAATGAGACAGGTGTAGTTATTTTATTAGATGCTAACACTAATGCTAACAACAGGCACCACACAAATTACGTACAAAAATCGCATGGGTACTCAAACTGTAGGAGACCAAGTTATTCTAATAATTCTCATCCAAATCTTATGGCTGAAAGCGAAAACTTATGTTTAACTTTTGCAAAAACAAAACGGTTTTATTTCTGGGATACATCTAAAATAGACTAAATGACCTTAAAGTTTCAAAAACTGTGATGGGATATGCATTATGAAGTATGTTTCTATTGATAAGGGATTACATTTATACCGGGAATGCATTTACGTCAGTTTATTTAAAAAAAGACATCTCTCCTTTGAGAAAAGATGATTTATTAAACAATCATAGGAACTTCTGGAAATAGTTTGTCATAATTTGAATAGTCAGACATTAAACCCATTACACACACAGTGCAGTAATAGGTTTGTACAAACAACTGTATGTCAGTGTACTCTCAAATTGTTACCTTTTTACAGAACCAGGTGACAGTTCAAAATGGACAAATTATCTTTGCAAAGTGACACTGTTACTGCAGACTAGACTACTAGACTGCTCTGGCTTCAGGTCATTTCCCTTAACCAATCAAAGTCTGTGTCTATGATAGAGAGAACCAGACAAAATCAATCAATCAGCTGAAAAGATTGAAGACAAGACATTAAAGCTCAAAAAAATACATTCCTGTGTTTGTTTCTACTCTCTAATCGGAGTACTGTTCTGGATGAAGTGTCCCAGTACAGGTATACAGTCCTAGAAACCTCCAATATCACTGCATAACTGCAGTACAATAGTAAATTCTTATAGTGCACGTAATCAGTTACTACCAAAAGAGACACCAAATAAAGACACATTTCACCATGAAACAAATGTCAGTATAGACGAAAAACATTCAGATAAACTTATGAGTAAATGATATGTTTTCAGTTTAGTCTCACACACTTGGTAATATCATATAAGGCCACATTTATCATGGTACACTGCCTCAGTGATGAAGTTGTTTAGGTGCTCCTCAGCTAAGATGAAAAGAAACCACCATTTTACTGTTTTACTTCTGCAAGAAATTAGAAGTTAAACCTAAACTTTAAGGACACATCACTAATAACACACATTAGAGACAGCAGGAGGGAGGCCTGATGCAACCAGAGGCCCTACAGATGTGCTGCAGTCTGGAAGACCTCCTGTGTGGACATGGACAGTGAAGACATGAACCATTGTACTTGGGCCACTCAGTCTGATGTATCTCTTGTCTTCTGGAGGAGGAAGAGCAGAATGGGCCTTATGTCTGATAGGTTCAAAGTCAGGTCCTCCAAAGTGAAAACCAGTAATGACACACACATTACAAAAACTACAAAATGATTACAGGAAAATGGAAAATATCTAAATTGAAACAGCTAAATATTAATATAAGTATTTTTACTCTTTAAATCATGATCTCAACATGAGCATGATTCATTTGCAGCCCTTATTAATACTGGAGTTTTCAATGCAACATGCACCATACCTAATCTGTGGCAGGAGTCTGGTTCAGCACCTCCAGTGCAGTGTGGCCTTACTTTGTCATCTGCATTTGACCCATTTCATGAATCATGAGTGTCTCATCAGCCAACAGTTCTGTGGCCCCAGCAGTGTGTTGTGTCCTCATACAGGAGTCTGCAAATGAGAAAAGAAAATTAATATAAAACATTTCTAAACAGTTTTCTCTTTACAGTTTTCTCTGTTAGTAGTAGTTTACTACTGTACTTGCTTGGATGTATTGTGTTTAAGTAATAGTCAAAAAAACATCTTACAGTCACCAATCAAGGATCCCTTCAGAATATGTCAACTACCTCTGATATTATTATTTGCCAAAAATATTTCACTAATTATTGACTGTGAAGGCCCGGACTAGCCCAGGACTAGACCAGAACTAATCTTGGATTTGAGAGCGAGAGAGAGAAACCGCGAGACCACGGAGGTGTCCGCAAAGGCACGATCAGGCGACAGCTACTTTAGCGCCATGGGGCACAGACCTCTGCGCCAGTCCTTTCGCCCGCGGTCACCCACACTCAGTCCTGATTCAGTTCTGGTTTAGTCCTAGTTCGGTCCTGGGATCAGTCCTGGTCTAGTCCGAACCTTAATCTGCATGTGTCGCGCCTTCCCAGTGGCTCTTTGGTGCTTCCCAGGGAGGCGAGCCTCAACTATTGAAAACCGTTGCACTAAAGTTTCTCTCAGCCTGGTCCATCGTTCCAGGCAAAGATCCAGAAATGGCACTTATTTCCAGGACAACGACACTTTCTGTTCAAATATGAAAGTTTGAGTGGACTTTTCATCGCTTTAGCTCCAAATTAGTAGGTAAAGTTTTAGCTCAAAGCTCCGAGGTTCACACAGTTAAAAACAAACTTATTTGACAGTTTTGTGGGTTATGACCGTAACACAGTAGGTGAATATAATCAAATAAAAGCCACATTACCGTAACAATCATTAGTCCCCGCTGTAGTTTATCGTCAGTCAGCTGTTTTCTGTCTCACTCAAAGGCAGATCCTTTCTCTCTGTCCAGCCGGTGTGTCTCTCCATTGAGCTGTTACACTGAGCAGGTTTGGAGCACTTCCGTTGTGGCGACTCTTTATGCAGCGTTTTTCTTTTGCAGGTGTTTTCTTGGTTTTCACCGTTTCGCGCTTTGCGTTGTTTCTCTATTTGCAGTGCATTTGATGATGATGGTCTTTGTTTCTTGCAGCGCGTTTTCTTTTTCATTTGCACCACTTTTTTGTTTGTACCTCGTTTAAACTTGTGTTTGACCCTGTGAATTTGCATCGTTTCTGTACTTGAAGTTGTTTACTCTAAATGAGACGCATTGAGCTATTGCAGTGCGTTTGGCCCCCGTCGGCCACCGTACTCTCAGCCTGGTCTGCCATCGTTTCCGGAAAAGATTGGGATCGGGAATTTGTTTCCAGGGCAATGGACACGTGTCAAGTATTTTTCTCCCTTTTGTCCACGGCGTCCAAATTGCGCATCAGAGGCATCTGAACTCCAATGCAAAGGCATCCAAATAGAGACGTCTGAACACAGCTTAATAATGCTGGATTACTCAAAGATATGCATAAAACAAAACAAAAGTCCAGGTCTGTTTTTGAGGAGGTAACAACATTTCAACATGGCTTAAAGCTCACAAAAATCCATTTTGTGTAATATAGGACCGTTTAATTTTCACAGGTTCATCAAGTGGCCCCAAACAGTACACATTTATTTCTACCACTATGACCTGGGAGGACGCTCAGAGCTACTGCAGACAGCACCACACAGACCTGGCCATGATCGAAGATGAGACGGAAAACTCTGCAGTGGTGTCTGTTCTTGTACCAGACCAATGGGCCTGGTTTGGTCTGTACAGAAAGCCCTGGAGGTGGTCTGATGGCAACAAGAACCGATTCACAAACTGGCTCCCTAATCAACCTAATAATTATCTAAGAGATCAGCACTGCGTTTGGGAGGATGACACTCACAGATGGAATGACGCATCCTGTTCATCGATGCAGCCATTTGTCTGTGCATATGGTGAATCAAATGTACATTTTGTGTTTAACTTCTATTCAACTTTGCTGAACCTTTTTCTGTCAATTACAGCTTTTAAGACCAAGACTAAACTAATTAAACTAAAACTTCAGTCGGATGTAGACCTTTCAGATCCAACCTATTCTAAGCAGATAACAAAAAAGGTATGTTACTTTTCATTGTTCGCCTTTGTTTAGCATATGGCTGGTTTTGCACACTAACCAGCAGTCGGTGCCTTTTACATACACTTTTAATTTAACTCCTATCTACTCGTTCTTTCTGTTTCACTATTTTTAAAGGCTGTAACATTTTTTTGTGTTGGTGGTTTAGCTGGTTCAAGTCCCCGACAGTGACACTGGATATTATCACTATGCACAGTTACACTCAAGAGCTTCAGCCATTGCACTGTATCCAGTTCATGAAATTATTTTGTTGTACTCTTTTCTTTCAGATTGCCTTAATACTGCGGGACAAAGGCAAGGGACTCACCGATTTCAGTGTCAAATGGACAGTTCCACCTCAGAAAGTTGACACCTAGACTGCAGCCTGAAGTGACCCAAATCCAATTTTTTGGCCCCTATGTGACCTGTATCTGATCTTTTAATGACAGTCTGAACAACACAGATCAGATTTTTTCAAATGCGACCCAGGCCACTTCGATATGTGGTCCTAATATGTATCCGATATATGATGTCCGATATATATCCGATCTGTTGACATGCGACTTCAGACTGAACAGCCAAAATGCATTCATTAGACCTACACGTTATCAACACGACACAAACATCACTATTCTGCACTGAAGTAGGTAAAAATTGTTAATGAACTCCGTGTCTCTGAAGCGAAGCACATCACCACTCACCACTCTTGGCTACGTCTTCGCACGTTCCTTTCAACAGACGTTGCTGCCACTGTCCCACAAAACACCACGGCCAAAAACCTCGTCCTTCTCCTTCTCAATCTCCTCTTTAAAACAAATAAGTTGTTCATGTTCTGGCTCCGGTACGAGAGGAACTTTAAAATCTCCAGGTGCTCAATGCTCGCATCCATGTTTGGACAACTTCTGTAAACACAGAGCACGCTCGCTGTGGTTGACGTCATCGTGTCCTCCATTGCACATGCGGAACACGTTTACTGTTCACACTGGAGATCACATACAAGGTGCATTTAAAATGGAAATGTTGGAAATGTGAACAACCTCGCAAAAAACATCGGATTTCACAAAAAAATTATTAAACATTAAGCCCTGCAGTCTGAACGTAGCCCTAGACACATTTTAGTGATTTGAGGAATTATTGTCATCTCAAATGTTTGTTCTAAGTTCTTACAAAGATCTTTAGATTTGCAATGATTCTGCTTTCAAATGCTGCAGGGTAGTTTGCATTCCTAAGAAGATGTAGCGTGTCAAGAGCTTGTAGATTGCAAAAACAACATAAATGTCCTGTTTATATCCAGCGTCTGTGATAACAGCATAAGCTTTGTGCAACCATCAGCCAACTCAATTGTCTCTTTTTTTTTTTTAAACAAATGTTTGCACTAAAAAAAAATCACAGTTAAGCACAATATCCTCCCTCAGTTTTCTGCAAATATCTGTGTTCATCATTTTCCTACTTTAGTTTGCATGTTTATGATCACTGTTGGGCAAGTTACATCTACTTAATTATCCAAGTTGCTTCTGTTCCTGCTCCATGTACAAGTAAAAATAAAAATATAGAAATGCATCAAGAATTTATAAGAAGAAAAAATAATGCAAAACTGAAATAGTGATTACACCACCAGGTTGCAGTAGTGAGCAGGTTTCAGAAGCGCTGGCCTCTGTTCGGATTCTCACTCCCAGTAGTTTGTCAGCACTGCACTGTAGAGAGGCTGTTAGCACACAGGATGGATGTTCTCCTGTCTGTGATTCAGGTGAGTCCAACTCGACCTCCTGCAGTGAGACTGCGGAAAGTCCTTTTGTGTGAGCAAATGAAAGTGTAACAACAACATAAAGAAATGAGCTATCATCATGGAGTGGATTAATAATCATAATAAAAAGAACTCTTCATTTTAAAACTCTGTACAAATAAACTGTGTGTGTGTTTATTAACCTGCCTCAGTTAATCATAGAAACACTTTTTGCCACAGTTGGTGCTGTAGCTTAGTGTATTACACAAAAATGAATTTTAACAGCAATTTACCAACTGTAAATATTGTTGACCAATATGATGTTGTGGTGTCATCTGAACTCCAGCATTGGCCAGTAGGTGGTGCTATAACCCAACTACTGGATCAACTTTGGGCTGATCACACAGATATAACCTCTGAAGTAAATATTGTTTTGAATACAGTGCAGTTGAATACAGGAGGATAACAGCACCAGAACTGTAGACGGTGCTCAGGAGGTGGAGCTCGTCCTTTCTGTTCAGAGCATCTGTGTCTGTTCATCAACAAACTGCACTGGACAAGATAAACACCCAGGTATTTCCACTCGCTCAGTGTTCTTTCCCAGGATGTTCAGTGGTGAGGGGGCAGGAGAGTGCAGTCTCCTTGGTCTTCTCTATGTTGATGAGGACGTGGTTCTGCTGACACCAGTCCTGCACTTTATTTATTTAATTTACCTGGGTGTGGGGGATGTTTCATTTTGGTCTTCGCCGTTACTTTGACTTTGAGAAATATTTCATTGAAAAACATAATTGAAAAAACATATTTTTTCCTTTCACCTGTCTGCAGATGATTTCAGGCTGTATCTGCCTTTACGCCTCTGTGCTGCCTCTTTCTTGGACTGTGTCTGTGTGCAGTCAGGGTCTGCAAGGCCTTCTCTGTTGGCCTAAAAAAATATCTGAATCACAGACTGATGTTAATTATATTATTATTAAATAATTCCAAATGATCTGTCCACTTCCTTTCAGAGGTTTTCCAATGCTTGTGCTGCTTCCAGACATGTATTTTCATATTAAAGCATTTAACCAATCCCATTTCAGCCATCATATGTTGCCAGGCAGAGTCAGAGTCAAAGAAGTGTCCCTGAGGCCTTCACAATCTGTTCTTGCAGGCCCTCAAACACAAAATGAATGTGCATGAAACTGTTGCTTCAGCCAGTCAGATTTTGAGTTGGTGTCACCAGGGCCTTTAGCAGCGAACGACAACATCATCGGATTCAGACCCGTTGATTTGAGAGTCAAAAGGGAACCAGCCAAAGCAGCAAACTGCATCTGTAGCTACTATGTATTACTGTTATTAATTACCAGTGGTGTAGTGGGGATTTTCTAAGTGGGGGTATGCGATTCGTGACTGAACCAGGACTAAACCAGGACTAAACCGGTCTCAGTCCCAGTCTCAGTCCTGGTCTGGGAGGCGTGACAAAAAATTATTGAGAAGCAGTGGTTTAAATTGTTTCTTGGGGTGTAAAAGTGGAAATTTGGATCTCTCAAATGCAAAGTTGTGTGTGCAGTATGGCAATAATAATACGTCAAAATGTAAATCTACAGGATATAGTTTGTTGGTCTGTGCTGATATAAAAATTCCCCTTTTTATGCAGGTCTATTTGAAAGTCAGGCTGCAGGTCATTTGGATTGGAAATCAAGCATCCAAGAATATTTGAATGTTTGCTCATCTGAAATAACACAGACCTTGGTGTTTCCCCACTGTCCGGTCATTTGAGGATAATACATTACACAACAATTAACACAGTTAAGATGACTTGAATTAAGAAAGTTTGATTTGATTTGAGTAAATTTCATGTCACAAGTAAAATGTGAAAATGGAACTAGACCTTTTGTACTTAAAATATAAAAATACATCTTGCAACACTTAAAATAAGAAAAACAACAACTTTTTGCACTTAAAATAAGAAACAAAATCTAATGTTCCTTGAATTAAGACGAACACACTTATTCCACTGGTAGATCATTTTACTTGTCAAGTTGGATCTAATCAAATAAAGTTAAATGTCCTTAATTTAAGTCTTTTTAACTTATCTAGATATTGTGATATTGT